TTGTTATCTTTCAATTCTATATAGCCAAAAACCTGATAATTTTGTAAAGACTTTTACTTACCAAAGCCCTGCTGGTAAATTACTCCAAAGCGAGAAAATCCGTTCCAGCGTGAACAAACACAAAACACTCACTTTACTCGATAAAAGGATTCAAATGAAACAAAAAAATCATGAGACGGGAAAAACACTAGATGTAAAAATTGTAAAAAGTCACCTTAATAACTGAGGTCAAAATTCCATGCACTATAAAAGAAATTTAATTTCCTTCAAATTCAGAGCAAATCCAATATGGTAATCCCGCCAAAACACAAAACAAGAAAAACTGCCGATCAGGGATGTTGGAAATCCCTTACGAAGCACAAGATTCACAGCATCAACGTTCTCGTCGCGCGGAGAAAGACCGGTTGGGGCTGGCGAACCGGAACACACGACAGCGACGGTCAGCGGGCGCGCGAGGACTGAATAGCGCGCGGCGAGCCACCGGTGGAGCCACACCGGTCCAGGCGAAAGAGAAATGCCGTGCGGGGCGCCGCCGTGCTGCGCCGGAGAAAGGAGAAATGGGAAGACCGGACCGGTGCCGCACCGTCGAGGACTCGGAAGAAGCAGGACGCGCGTCGCGACCATCAGCTGTGGCGACGTCGCCGGCCGCGGATGTAGTCGGACGCCGACCGGATCAACGTCTGCTGGGATGTATGATGGGTGTTAATGTGTGATAGGAGACATAATAAGTCGAGGTAAACGCTGAGACATCGAGTACCAAAGGCTCTTTAAATACCGCTTCCTAGAAATTTGGGCATTAGCGGATCCAGCAAATTGGCAACATTGCTTTTCTCCATTTAAACCTATGGAAATGTATCGATTATTGGAGGGGCCGGGTGCTCCAACAAGAATCAATTGTTTAAGATAGGTTTAATGGAGGGAATTCGGTGTTGTAAAATTGTTGGATCCACCTCTGAATTTGGGAGGCGGGCAGTACCGAGTTACGAAGGGTATAGACTCGATCGACATGAATCAATCGCAAAATAGAAACGTGAACCAATCGATTTGGTGTAGGGTTGCTGGCGGTCTGGTAAACTGGGAAAATCAGGGGAAGTCAGGGAATGCGTGATGACCAGGAAAAGCCAGAGAATTTGTGATGACCGGGGAAGGTCAGGGAATTTGTGATGACCGGGAAAAGTTAGGGAATTTCTGACACATCTACTGATCATTAGAACATATCACTAGTCTTCCATCTAATCACTCTCTCTAGTCATTTTTAAGCCTTGCCATCTTTTAACCAGTTACTGGATACCTGTTTTCCCATAACCTGCTCTCTAGACAAGGAAACTGTATTCTAAGTATAGCGAAAGCTAGGGTTTTTTTTTTTTAATGGAAATTGTGTTTGAAAGTCAGAGAAAGTCAGAAAGTTAGACAATTTTTGAGTCAAGAAAAAGCAAAAGTATTCAAGGAAAGCCAGAGAATTTGAAGATGAAGAATTATGTCAACCTGTCACCAATCGACATCTGTGAACCGATAAACAAACCCATGAGTTAAACGAAAAACCCGTGAACTGATCGACAAATCCGTGAACCGATCGACAAACCCGTGAATCTGTCGAATTTTGTCTATCGAACCGGTATCAACCAAGTCGGTGCTGATCGAATACATTTCAGTGAAAAATATTCATAGTTTTAAACATTTATGTTCATGCTTTTATTTTTCGATCAATTCATGTCGATCAAATTGGCACCGGTAATTTAATAATTTTTCGTTTGAATCGGTGTCGATTCGTTCACGTCGATCGATTCACGGTTTTACTTTTCGATTGATTCATGTCGATCGAATCCATCCCCTCCGACTGTGCGGATAGAAAATTATGATATATATCAAATATCGCACACGTTTTTTGATGAAATTCGCCTTCGGCCTCGATGGACGATCAAATTCCGAACCAGTTCCGCTCGAAGTAGAACATATAATGACTGTAGGTCACTATGCAACATTCTTCCTTGATCAAAATACCCCTCCGATTTTGAGCAAACTGGAGTGCCACCATTCATCATTTGGACGTATTTCTGCCCAACGGAACTATGTGCATTGAGACATGAGCCCTTAGACCCCTAAGAATATATGCGTAACAGGGCTCTCGTTATTCACATACTTCCGTTTGGCAGAAATACGTCAAAATCTGCTAGGAACATTTCAGTCAAGTCCTTATTTGAAAAAATTTACTAAGTAACGGTTTCAGGATTGCTGTCACCCGATGCAACACTTGGATAAGACCGGTTCCCAAATTTGATCGTCGACTGTTGAGAAGTGCCCAACAGAATTGAGAGGTGCCTCTACTTTATGATCAACAATACATTTTATTCACCGAGACATTTTTCCGATACTCTGTTCACGATTTTTACCGATCGAAAAGAAAAGGTGCCTCTCATTAAAATAAGTATTACTTCAATGGTATCAAATCAATATTGATTGTACTCATAAACTGTTGAAAAATAATCATACCACTCAAGTAGTTAAAAACAACACCTATCGAACGAGATAAATGAGCATTTGCGACCGGGCAACTATTCGTGCTTCTCGGTAGGTTTGTTGCCTACATCGCAAAATTCAAGGCGCATCCTAAGTGGACGATGTCTATCAACAGCATCTTATGTCGTTCATTCACTCAAGCAAAGCCTATGAGCGTTTTTCAAACAGACAGCTGTTGGTGCTCCTCTGTAGGTTTCTTGTCTGTTACGTTTTTGAAGGCGAAACTCAAGTTGATGATATCTATAGACAGAAGCACACATGATTCGTTGGATGGATCAAGCCTTATTAACTAAAAAATAAGCAACTGTACGTGCTTATTGGTAGGTTAATGTCAATGCAGAGCATTGAAGGCGAAGTTTAAGTATAGACGAAGGTGAATGAAGTTAAATATAATTATGAGTAGTAAAGGCAGCAAAAAGCTTGTTTTGACGTCAGGAATAAGTTTAAGAGAGGAAGTCAGCGTAAATATGGAATAATGGTTTAAACATATTTTCGCTTTACCAAAATGAAATCATCGCCATAGTGTAATTCTTGTGTGGCACGAGGTATCGCTGCATTCAAATTTAAGGTAAGCCGTTTCTTTCTCTTCCCACTATGGTGTGTTACTTGACGTCAACTTAGGTGAAATCAAATTTTTAAGCTTTGTGAACCCTCGCTGCCGTAAAGGGTAGTCTTCGCGTTAGTTCTCGGGAAAAAGTGCTTAAATGGTGTGCCCTGTTTTTAGGGCTGCGTCCGGTCTGAGTTTGTCAAGGTATATGGAATCCCAATCACTCAGCTTCCATGGGTGAGCTGCAAGTTGATTTTGCAAATACTGAATGCTTTCAAAAATAGTTAGATTTACGGACGCAATTATCTATCTGCACATTCATAATTCAAAGAAACGGAAAATGTTGAAATTTGCGGGCTATTTCACACTTTTTGGTCAAAAAATACCTAGTCATATTTTCCATGTACTTGCCGTCTTATTTTACACAAGTAAAGAGATGAAACTAGCTAAGCACGGTAACTTTAAGATATCAAATAGCAAAAAAATTGGTAAAACTTGTGTCATCCACTAATTTTCTCCTAAACCTATTTCAAATTTCTCCTTGTGCAGTCATGTGCTTCGCCAGTTCAAGTTTAAAGATGTTTTTAAAAGCAACTCCTTAAAAGCAAAAAAATTACTATGTGTCTCAATTTATAAAATGGATTGATCCAAAGCTTAAAGCTGATACGATTTTTAAAGCTGTCTCATTTACTCCTGAGTCAAATTTTTCAAAAACAATTGGAATCGATAATGCTAGCTTATACTCTGTTCTTTCTTCTTAAAAATCCTCAGCATCACTCGGAGGGGAAAAGTTAAAAAAAAATAAATAACTGTACCGAAAAAATCAAAAATATCGTTTTTCCTGAAAAATTTTAGGTTCGTCGATTTACCGTAACTGAATTCTCTAAAAAAACATAATGATGCGAGTCATTCTCTTCTATTCAGCCCGGAAGCGCTCAATCGATGGAGCAGTCTCCTGTAAAACGCCTTCATATTTGAGGGATGCAACACGCATGTCGTGCTCGTGACTAATACTAATTTCAATAAGCGTGTTGCGGTCAACCGCTAACAAGACGCATCATTTCTTAGAAATGAAAAGATCATGAAGCAGGATCAGAACATAGATACTGAATTACATTTTCATCGTTATAATTTGATGGAAAAAATGTTTAATGATTGAAAATCCTTCATTTAAACCACAAATAAAGAGACGAAAACGAACACCAAAAAATGTAATCCAAACACTGTAAGTAGCAGGGTGTACTATTACACTATTCCGCTGGGAAATAAAAGCCACAGAAAACCAAGAATAGATTTATTAGAGGTAATTAATGAACTCTACTGAGTTCAATTCAAGGCTGAGTTGGGAGGATTGAAGGGGTTGGATGACAAGGCGCATTAGTGCAGTTTTTGAACAATTGAGGTATTAATGATTTCAAGTAACTCTAGTCTCAATGCACATTCTGAGAAAAATTCGGTCCCAAATTTCAATTTTTAAACACCAAAAAGTCAGTTTGAACTTACTTTCCACCATAGAGATCCATGTAATTTCAAAACTTCTAACACATATTTCTCGAAATAACAAAAACTGTACTTGCTGCCCCTTCGTTTTAGTATTTTTTAATATTTTCCGACTTTGATTTCTCCACAGAATAGTTAGACACGATACTCTACCATCTCGTTACCTATAAAGGATTAGGCAATTTTTATCTTGCTCTGTTTAATCAATGTAGACGCAAGTAGTGATAAAGCACCTTTAAAAAATCACGCTAATAATAACTAGACTCCTGATCGATCAAATTGTATGAGCCCCAAAGAATAAAACTCTGAAAAATGAAAAAAAAAAATGAAAATAGAAGATGAAAAAGATTAAAATTTCCAAGTGTAATGAGCCCTCGAGGCAAGATGAAAAGCTCACAGAGTATTGAGTTGGAAAAAACTTTCAAAATCGGCAAAGAATTAGTTACAAAATAGTTTATTGGTAGCTTACACATAAAAGTAGACAATTACAGGCTGTCATTTAAAAATAAATTAAAAAATATGTATTTAAGCTCAACAGGTAAGAGTGGACGATGCGGAACGAATGAAAATGTAAATGAAAATGAAAATGAAACGGCGACGATTAGAGGCGAGCGATGGTGGTGTATGGTGGATACATTGATTTTCTTGGGCACACAACATGAAAACATTGAGGTGAGGTCAAATGAAATAAATTAACAAATAAATAAGTAGACGATGAAAATGATGATGTGTACGGTCTTCTCAGGGTGGGCACATCTTATCCACCTCGGTATGATCGGTAGGCGAGCACAGAACTGACTAGATACAACGCTGTTAGAATCAGCCCGAAGATCTGCAAACAGAAAAAGTCAAGTTACGCTCATTTCAAAAAAAAAAAAAAAAAAAAAAAAAAAAGATTATTAAATAGGGGAAAAACTTACAGTTCGTTCATTTCTAAATCTTTTACGTCGAGCTTTGAGTTTTGGCGAGAACAGTACGTAGACGTAAGGAATAGTACAAAACTAAGCATCATGGTAAATTTTATCTCATAAAAATTACAGGTATGTGTGTGTATGTATAGTACCTAAACGGGGAGAGTAAGGGCATGTCGGTAATATGGAGGTTAGGTCATGGAGCTTTTAGAGCGGGGGGGGGCGGCAATAGCGTTAAACTTTTTGTTCACAAAAACTAAGGTCTACTAGAGTCAAAGGGAGCACCTAAATAATTTCAGCATATTTTACGATGACAGAAATTTTTTTCTGGGTCGAAAATTTTTCTTGAAAAGTTCACAAGTTCCGTGAAGGTAAAGGACCGATAATTTGCCGGACGGGCCTGGCCGATTTAGACCATGCTAATTTGGTATTTTGACAGCGGAAAGTTTGAATTGAATGATTATAATGATGAGTTGATTTTGGAACTTTTTGATATGGTACTACATGAAATTTTAACAAGGAAATATGGCCTGGGGAAGTTTCTGTTCTACTATGTCCAGTGCGGTCCGTTGACAGTATACGTCGATGTATTGACAATGTCAACGATATCGTCATTACGAGTTTATTTTTCACTCCGCGGCAATCGATATCAGTCTATGAAACCGTAAGAAAAGCTTTTTTGAAGAAAGAAATGAGAATGAGTAAAAACCACCTGCACAAACAAATGATGTCGCTTCTTTGTTGCTAAAAATGAGAAAAAAAGGAGTCATTGACCCCTCAGGAATACTGCCGTGCTAAGGAAAAACGCCGTATGAACATTCGAGAGTTGGTAAATTTCCTCCAATGAAATGTTTATTTTTGAGAAGAGTCATGAATATTTTTTCTTCAAATTTGCAGATAATTTTCATCTAATTACGAGGAAAATTCCTAATTACGACGAAAATTCTCTGAAAAATTGGACGAAAAATATTCACAAGTTTATCTGATAATTCGTTTTTAATTGAAGGAAATTTGGCAACTGACGAAGGTTCGTACGGCGTTCTTCCTTGACACGGCAGAATACAAGATCTCTTATGCTCATTGACACAAAATGCCCGTTCATGGTCGCTAAAAATAGTTGTTTTCCCCCTTTAAAAAAATCAACCCCTTGAGAGCCAATCAAAGGGAATTCACACTTGAATGATCCTCGTAGCTTTGTCCACAGGGAATTAAAAACTTCGGTTACAAGAGGCAAACTATGGTTCATACACTGGAAAAAAAAACAAATTGGATCTAGAGTCCAGACTATTGAAAACATTGACAAGAAAAAATACTCATGATTCAATCGGATTTTTGCTTGAATCAAAACGAAATCCGCTTAAATTAAGAGGCTTGGTTCTTGATTTAAGCTAGATTCTGATTGAATCAAGAGTACTTTTTCTTATCGATGTTTTCAAGAGTCTGAACTCTAGGTCCAATGTGTGTTTTTTTTTTTCCAGTGCATGTAATACTGCAGTTGTTGGTCAAGGCAAAGGTCAAGGCAAGAGCCAAAAAACTATAGGGTTGACATTTTGGTGTATGATTAGGATTAAAATCGTTTGGTCGCCGGTTGTCATTGTACTGTCATTCCCTATGCAAAATAACGTAACTACATTGCAGCGTTGCGCTGTGCAGGATCCACTCATAATTCTTCTTCGTTGGAAATTTCTGACTGAATATTTCATTGATGTTCCTTCTGATAACACGCAAATCAGCAATAATTGGGATAGAAATGACACAGTGAATGGTCATCATGTTTCTTTAAATTAATGAATTGTTTCAGGCAATTTTGCAATCTTGGAATGAAATTACGATCCTTCGTCTATTCAAAGAGATGACAATGTACTGAATTTCAAAAAAGAACCATAAGTGTCAACTTACGGAGGCAACAAGGAAGGGTTGGTAGTAACCGCCACCGAAGTTGGCTCGATTGACCTCAACTAGGAACATGAGACACGCAATCAAGTAGAGTAAGAATGCTGCTCCGTGATAAATGAATTCCTGAAAAGATAAAAAATGAGGTATTAAATCAAAGGTGGTAAATAAAATACCTATGTAGAAAATAAATTTAACTAAATTTTGCAACAAGGAACTACCATTTTTTATTCACTCATGAATGCACTTATCTGCGATGAGAAACTAGTTAATGACATGCGTTGTTCCTAAAAAGCGTCAGAAATGGAGGGCCCTTACTGCAAAATGTACTTAATCCAATTGAGACACAATTATTATCAACATCAAATTTAAAGTTGAACAAATTTGGGCAGGTTTTGGTAGTTTAAGTAGAGTAGTTCTTTTACTCATATGTTCATGTGTTCTTTTTTGTACGTACAAATACTGAGTGTAATTTTTTCAACACTCCTTTTCAAATCTGAATGCCTCCAAAATTTCCTGAGAGCATCTAATTTTCTTTTTCAAAGACTTCGTTTTTCTCTCTTGCACAACTTGCGTGCTTGGTGGAAGCAATTTTATTAAATTTGCAACTATTCGTATATATAATTTTACATTACTAAAGCATTAATGGCCATTGATGCTAAGGCACCCGCCGCTTTAAAATGAACGTTTATATTACTACTAATACCTTCTCGTTACAGTTTGTGTATTATTTTGTTCTTCTCGACGTTGCAACAAAGTAATGCGAGGAACTAATTTTTTTAGTTCTATTTGCATAGTGTAGAAAAAATATATACATTTTTAACAACATGGTGAGAACTTTCACTCTCGCACACTGAAATTTTCCTGTTTCCGAGGGTGACGGTTTTTAGCAAGCTGATGCAAAATAATTGTACACACATTCTCTTTTTATTTAATTGCATGCTGCATCATTCTGAGGAAAAGTATGACCAAATAAGTTTACGAATAAAACCTTTCTGCTCCATGGCCATTGTTATCGTGTTCATGTGATTCAATCAGTGATCTCAAATATTTGCGCGCGTGTCCAGCTGTTTTGTGAAAAATTGGATTGCTTGAGCCCAGTGAATGATTCGCTGCTGCATGTTGGTTTCAGTAAATTATTTAAAGGGTCCTTAATTGGTAGGTTATTATCCGTGATGTAAGCAAGCTTTGCCTATTCCTTCTTGAGCAAACTTACGATATATCCTCAAGAGGAATCGTCTTTCGTCAAGCAATGAGCAAATCATCAAATGCAGCAGCATGCTTTTGATAGGCTATTTTAAGCATGCCTGATAAATAAGTTCTGAAAAGTGAGTTCATATACAGCTCTATGTCTGTAATAAATGTCGATGTTGCCGTTTCATTGGAGAGCTCATTGTAAAAAATGCCATGGTTGAGGATGGGAAGCCAAAAATACTGCGTGAAAACCCACTTCGAACTACTGTCCCATCATAAGTAGATGGACCGGCACTGACCGGTTATCCTAACCATGAGAACGGAGAATAATTGAGCTTAGTTTCACAAAGAAACAAATTTTCCTAGCAGTTAAAGCGAAGAGAAAAATACACGTTGCGTCGTGAGAACGATATATTGATCATCCTAAGAAAAAATTTAATTTAGACCGAAAAAGTTAGAGGCGGCTAATGAACATAACCCTCCGTGCGATGCGGTGTTGGTTCGGTGACTTGATCATTGACAATGGCTCGTACACTAACTTGCTTCAACATATTACAATTAATTCATATTTTCCAACGGTTCTTCCTACCTTGAACTCACTACATAGTACTAAATCAGCATATATGATCAGAAATCTCGTAATCACTAACAAAACATTTCATTCATTCACGCTTTCGCACAGTGTGTGAGTTGTGACGCTGATAACCCTGTTTTTCGAACGACGGTACGGTACCTCCGTTGATATTAGTTTAAGAAATTGTTTAGTCGACAAGTTTACGTATTTCATTCTATTCTAGGAGCTTGAGCCATAAAAAAATGATTAGATGACCAGCACGATTGACTAATTGGACGTATTTCTATCAAACAGACCTATGTGCAGGTACAAAATATGGGGTGTGCTCGCTAGTTCTCTGACCGTAAGAGTGAATGAGAATAATAAAGCACCAGTGACGTCAGCGGCAATGATGGAGCCGCGGGACGAAGGAAAGATCGTCTTCGGGGCGCTTTAACTCATGAGCCCTGTCCACAACGCTCTCGTCCCATCCTCGCGGCTCATGAATCCCGCATTCAGTTGGCACATAGTTCTGTTCGATAGAATGTAATATCCCGCTTTTCCAAATCTTCAAATGGAATCACGCCCTCTTTTACATTGTTTCTTATGCAGCTTTCTAGAGCACACCCCATATTTCTCACCTGCTCACAGTTCTGTTTGATAGAAATACGTCCAATTTACATCTTCAACCCCAGGGATCGATTCGTTCGGGAGGTGCACCCACAGCTTGAAGCCAGTGTCGAAGCTTGGTGAGGTGGGTGCTAATTTTTTTTTGACTACCTGGAGGACCCAGTCTTTTTTCGCGTTGGATTTATCGACGTGGTAGGCCTGGATGAGTCCGGTTTCACTTACGTAGAGGGTTTTGGCGATGATAGAAGCCGTCGTGATGGAACACAGACAGGACAGGAGGAGCAGCAAGCTCGCTATGAAGAATGTCGTCGCTATGCATAGGAAGAATAGGAGAGCTGAACTGAGGAAGGTGAAGGTGTATTTCTGGTCCTTGTAGTATACCAGAATCGCGATGATGATTCCGCCCAGGATCTGGAAACAAAAATCAGTGACAAATATTAGAAATCTGGCCTTTGAAATAACTTTAACATGAACTTGTGGAAGTCATATACATCGATGGCTAGAGTGCGATACCACATACCTCCATTGCAGTGTTTCAAAATCTCCGCTGCTAGTTTATTTATATTTTGAAGAGGAACAAGTCAGTTTTATTTTTGAAATGCATATCGATGGTGAAACCACAGAAATGCGTATATCGGTTGCGGTGTTTGAAAATCTCCGCTCTTATTTTATTTTTTGAAAGGAAACCGAATCAACATCGTGGCTTGAAATTTTCACAGAATATTCTTCACATGGTGAAGAAAAATATCCGAAGTGCTCAATGAATGATCTTAAGTGGTTTTCCATATGGAAAATGAAGTATGACAGGAAGTCTGCAACGCCGCAAACCGATATACGCATTTCTGCAGTTTCACCATTGATATACTCTACTAACAGAGAAAAAAGTTCGAAAAAAATTTGAAAAAAATACGTTGCTTAGTTCTCCGAAGAAACAAGAAATGTATGACTAGAAGTCTACAACGTTAAAAACGGTGATACTTGGTTTCGCACTTTAGCCATTCATATCAAATTTTGAGCGTTTTGTTGCGCGCACACCTCGCTGCAGCACAATAAAAGAACAAAATGTAAAAAAAAAAATTAAAGTGCTTTGGATATTATTAAATTTGACACGGAACCACCAATATTTTAAAAACACACATCATATTATTATTCTTCTTTAATAAATTCATACATATTTTTTTACCATCATTTTTTTCAAATGAGAATAATCAATGCAGAGTGTGCTAACATTTCAAAATCATGCGTTAAAAAACGCTAAATATTAAAGCCTAACAGAGCGGAGCGGCGTGCTGCCAGCGCGAGAGGCTCACTGGCGCCTACAAACCTAAGTGGATACTTCTCGCATGGCACTTTGCTTGAAGTATCCACTTAGGTTTGTAGGCGCCAATGCGCGTTTCGAGCTGGCCGCCCGCCCGCCGTACGGTGGCGCCTGAAGCAACTATTTCACAACAGAGGTGTTGCACAGTATTATACGAAATTGAACGTATTAAGAATGATAGACATCCTTTAAAAGTACAGATCTTTCCTCGCAAAATAAATCAAGATACTTATCGTACACAAGAAAAATCTAAGAGCTTTTAGCTGAGGCAAATATAGAGGTTTATCCGGTTCAGGTATAACAATATGCTTATTTCTTGAAAGATAATTAAGTCCTGTTACACCAAAGAAGTGTAGAGAGTTTCAGTGAATTTGTCACATGGAATTGACGCTCCCCCATGTTTACCAAAACTCTCAACTATATATTATTCTCCGTTGGACCAAACAGACAAAACAAAAAAACAAGCAAACCCTCATTCTTCCAAGACATCATACATTTTCATCCAAAAACGTCGTGAGCAATTGTCGTTTGTATTTACATTAACTTTGGGTCTCAACTGGCACGTGGACCAAAACTCCTGTGCCGAAAAAACGCGTGGACGTAAATTACTGGAAAAAACGGGTGCGCGGACAAAAAATCGTTGACAAAATGTCCTATAACCAAAAAAACATGACTGAATAACATATGGGGATAGTCTATAATAAAAGATATATTTGATCAAATACAACTCAGTTTTGCGGGCTGATCGTTGAAATTGATTGACAAAGCTATAGACAAAGAAGACAAACAGAAATGGTAGGGATCCTATTGGTGGAAACGGATAGTCGCGATGATAGGAGAGGTAATTACTAGACTAACTAACGGCAACCTACGGGAGACCCTTTGGTTATGGTCATTACTGTCTACATTGGTCTGTGACAACCAATTTTTTCAACCAATAGAATCGCTCAATTTTTCCCTTGTCTTTTTTGTCTATGGCTTTGCCCATCAATTTCAAGTATCAGCTCGATGTTACAGATACGGGATCTACGGGATTCTGAGTGGTCATCAAACAATTGCCGTGATTGGCGTTCACAGTTCGGTTTCGCATAAGCTACGAAAATTGCCTGCTGCTCAAATGAAGGCGTTTCATGCTTCAGAAAATTCCGAGCGACTTCATCAATCAACCGGGACAACCAAGCGTGCCTCGTGAATGATGAATGAACTCGGATTGAATGCGTGCTTTTTGTGAATTCTATTTGTCATTCTAATAAAGGTAATACAGCAGTTGGGCCGTTCTTGCTCATTCAGAGTGATTGCTTAATATGCAAGAGATTAGCTTTTGTAGACTTTGTATAAAAGCTCGTCATAAATAATGACACTACCGCCAAAAACTCGTGAGCTCTGAAACCCTACTCAGACAGGAGACCTAAGACTCATGAATTTTGGGCTTATCCCATTATTTATTGGTGTTCTTTGTGAGTTGAAGTGAGATGTTGCGTGAGAGTTTCGGGGTCATTAGCTCATACCTGTGTTGCCAATTTATCTGTCATTTTTGCTCGTATGCCTACCTTCAAAATTTGTTTAAGATACTATTCAGCCGGGCTAAGGAAAAACGTCGTATGAGCCTTCAGGCGTCGCCAAATTTCCTTCGATAAAAACCAAATTTACAGGGAAAATTGTGAATATTTTTTTTCCAAAATTTTTAGACACTTTCGTACGCTATTTAATCTAAAATATCTGAAAATTTCAAGGAAAAGTGTGCATAGATGTCGTCAAAAATGCATCTTTTATCTAGGAAAATTTGGCAACTCTCGAATGTTCATACGGCGTTATTCCTTGGCACTTCAGTATTCACGCAGGCTCATCGCACGCAATTACTCTGCTGTACTAAGGAAAAACGAAATTTGAACGTTGCCAAATTCCCCCGGTAATATATTCATATTCGAGGAAAGTTATGAATATGTCTGCTTGGAATGTTCAGACTCCTTAGATTAAATTGCAAAATAAATTATCTGACAAACAGAATGTACGAGTTTCTCTGGAAATTAGATTATCATACAAGGAAAAAGCGACAGCAAAAAGTTCACAGGGTGTTTTTCCTTCGCATGGCAGAACTGTCGAGTGCCAAAATATCCTAATGAATTTCGAAAAGTCAAACCTTTGGGGCCCATTCGACTCAAACCTTATAATTTAATTTGATACGAGCGAGTTGAAATCTTCTGTGGTGCCCTTTTACACTTTTTTAGGGGTTGTTCTCACAAAATTTTTGGGGGAAAATTTTTATGGTGCCTTTTTACAATTTTTTTAGATAGTTCCCAGGAAACGGAAAAATATATCATAGTCGTCACAACCAGTAGCTGGCTAAAAATGCGCCTGCTACCGTGCGGTAGTTACGGCAACTACCATTGTAGTTTTTGTAACTACCTATTCAAAGAATATTCTCTTTTAAAAAAATAGAAAATAATAATAAATGAATAAGTTAAACATTGGTAGTTGCTGTAACTACCTATTGAATATTGTCACAGAATGTTCTTAAAAGAAAAAGAAAATAATAATAATAAATGTTTAAGTGAAACATTCATGGAAAAAAACTACAGTAAGTAGTCTCACAACTATAAAATGAAGCATAACGGGAAATCTGCAAAGTCACAAATCTAGATGCAAAATTTCTGAGTTCAGTGATAGATACTTCAAACGTCAAAACAAACTTTAAAGTGCAGTGAGTAAGAAGGTCCACTTTCGCTCTCAGAAGCTTTTAAAGAGCTTTGAATGCTAAAGCATGACTCATTGAATGGAGCCCAAACTCTCGACATTCCTCAATGATACACACAACCCAGAGACAGTCCCAATGGTGCCAATTTAAAAGTAAAAATGTGCATATTGTAAAGATTGCTAATGTATTTCGAATGAAAACATTCTCCGAACTCATACAACCACCGGCAGCATGGGTCTGTGTGACTTCACTCTCATCATTACCTATTAATAGACGTTTTCATAACCGACAAAGCCTCTTCCCTCCACCGCGCAGCGCCACCGTCGCAGTTGAATTTTTTACGCGAGATGAGTCACCGATGTGTTTGGAGATGGATCAAGGATTGATTGATTGAGAGAATCAATATTGAAGCGCCGTCGAGTGACTTGGAGGTCTCGGGTGACTATCCAAATAGATTTCTCTGAGAGGACAGAGGACGGTCTAGTATAGCAGGCGAGGCACTCATTAAGAAGATAGTAGTAAGCACCGTTGAATCGGTTTCTGTTAGAGGGGCAATGGGGTAAAGTTCACAAACGCATGAGCCCCAGCGTCCTGCGGGATCAACGAGAGCCAGGGTTCATGATTTTTGGGACTTACGCCCGTCTGATAGAAAGCGATTTAATTTCAGAAGCAGCTTCATGGCGTGTTAATTATTATTTACAGAACATACTTTTTCGGCAATTTTAACCCCCTTCCTCCCCCTTATAACGGTTCGGAACGCAGCCCCGAATAATAATCACATAACGGTTGATGACTCTTACTTAAATTCCCAATTTTGTGGGAAATGTTGGATAAGAAGCTGAATAAATTTGAATTATTTTTAGTGATACTTAGTGTGACAAATAACGTCGCAGAAATGAAGACGATACATTTTAGATTTTTTTTTTTTTTTTTTACTGATATATTGGTTACATATCGAGGGCTGCCCTCCCCCCTCTCAACTTGTAATGCAGCGTAACGTTATATAAAGAATTTAAATTGTTCAAAACAAAAAAAGAAGAAAATGGCACTTGATAGTTAAATTCGACACAAAAATTTGCTTTTTTTTAAAATTATTTCTCTTTTTAGTCGGTTTCAACAATTTTAAAGATGATTAACTGGACCGTGTTTAGCAGAATGGAACCAAGCCACATCAGCTACGGCCAAATTTGACGGGGCAATTTAATTTTTCAGAAAAGCACATTTGTGCGGATTCCTTTGAAAATGTTAAAGAATTTGCTCTGCACAATACAAAAATTCGCTGAAATTTGCACCAAAATCCTAACAACTGTTTTCAAGAAAAAATGAAATTGTCCAAGTAATTTTAATTACTTGCCGAAAGAGAAGAGTATTTGGACCATGTTAAGCAGAGAGGAACCAAGCCACATCAGCATCAACTATTGCCAAATTTAATCTAGCAACTTAATTTTTTACATGAAAACCGTCAAGCGGATTTTTGTGCAAATTTCAGGGAATTTTTTGCATAGTACGAAACAAATTCCTTAAAATTTTCAAACGAATCTGCACAAAAAGTTTGCGCAAAAACATTAAATTGTCCAATCAAATGTGGCAATCGCTGGTGTGGTTTGGTTCCTTTCTGCTTAAAGTGATCTCCAACTGGACTTGAACCACTGTACCCCTCGCGGTGGCGTTTAAAGCATCACAAAAATATGACAGCATGTCGAGGACACTGCCAAAATTGTAAACGGAGCTTGGACAGTCCCGGCACATATTCCGCTTGTCGGCCACGTTATTAGCGCGGCTGAGAGTGTGAAGGTTGTCCCCACAAACTCCACCGTTGTCGACAAACCTAATTTTCTAGCATTTCCAATGGAAACCTCGAGGTTCAAAAGGCGTGACACGGCAACGCTACTTGTCGTTTGTCGCGATCATTAACTCTATTAGCAGCCTCTCGTTGAGAATTTTTTTTTTAAACGTTTCAAAAAGTAAGTGAGCAAACTCTGTAAGCAAGCGTTCCTATAACTTTCTTCAATTTTTTTGTATGACCATGGGATATTTTTGTAATTTTTTCATTGTCGGTCTCAGCTTGAATAACTGAAATTAGCAAACGGTGAGCTGATCTTGGAATGAAAATCTGTTGGCAACGAAAGGTTAAGAAACCAATTGCAACGTCTTCTTTTGGTTACTGGAGTGTTCACCGTTTAAGAATTGATTTGCGATCTCTTAAAAAAAATACAAAAAAAACTCATGAAATTGCACGAATTACTACACAAATTGCACCCCTAAAATTTTACCTATGTATACTGAAGCTCATTTCTCCGAAGGTGGTAATAAGTTACTTTGAATTCCCATAGTTTTATTTATCGGAGCATAAGGATTTTTTGCGAGTTTCAGTGAGGATTAAAAACTTTTTCTTTTTCTCTTCCATATTTGTACTTTGAATTTGGAAGTACACAAAATACGGAAGAAAAAATGAAAGCTTGAAAATCTTAAATCGGATTGAGCCCGTGAAATTTATCGGCACGAAAGAGCAGAGAGAGACACGAAGCTCTTAGACTCTATGCGAACAGATAGAATCGGTAAAATAAAAAGCGTCGACTTCTATGCTTTCAATCTTATAGACTCCGTTTATAGACGTCACTCACCGAATTAGTTTTCCTTTCAGCGGCCACATTGATCTGCACCGTTGTCAAATGTATTCGTTAAAATAAAATAAAATAATGAGTTATAAGCCTGTCAAATTAATTTTCTTAGAATAATAAATTATAATAATCAGTATAAGAATGCCGAGAATGAGTAATGAAGTAAGTATGTGTGTATATGTTGAGTGTGTAAGAATGTTATCATCTTGTTATATCATAGAATGCCTCTTTCTCTCTCGTGGACAAATCCCTGCGCTCCTGTTTTAGTTCAGTCCTTTTAACTAATGAAATGAAGCGGCATTAGCTGTGAGTCATAAGTTCCGGCTTGAGAAGCTGTTGTTGTTGCTTGGGCTCTGTATCTACAGTTCCTGATACCAACATTCACAACTCCCAATCATAAAGAGGACAGCACTGCAGTATTACCGAAGGGCAACCGCGATCACATTTTTACATGGAGTTCGACGTATATAATTTGAATGAACTGAAATATTCTTTAAATATAACAGCGAAATCCCTCTTGTTTTTATAAAAAAAAAGAGTTATGAGAGACTAATAAGTCTGCAATAACATGCCACGGAGCATTAATTGCTGAACCTAACTGCCAAGGCCAAAAATCATCATCGTTACTCGTCAAAACGAGTTAATAAAGTTTTCTGTTTCAACACACTTGGGTCCACTTTCCTCATAATTTCATTTCAAGAGTTAATTCTCTCTGTGGTAACACCGCAGAGATTTTCTGTATAGTCCGTGACTATGATTATAAAATTTGAAGCTAGCGTTGTTACAATTTTGCAAGCAAATAATGCACAAAAGAGCTGCACTTCTGTTTCGAATTTCCTGTTTTAATTTTCCCATTAGACTATTTCTTTAAAGTAATAATAACGCGATTACTTATTATGGTTGTTGATGGAGTTTTTGAGTGTCTTAAACAAGGATTACTTTAAAAATAATAGCTTTTGACAGCTAGGAGAATCTAGAATTGAGATCTGGCAACTGCATCTCATGATTAATCCGCAAAATGTTCAAGACCCAAGCTCAAAGCAGTGAAATTAATGTTGCTGCGTCCAAAGTACAGACTCCAAATAAAATCCGCTTGATGACCTATATATATCCACGGTTCAATGACGTCAGTCAGCCGGAAACTTGACTTTTTTTAGTTTATCCAGACACCCAGGCGGCCACTTGAGCAGACGAAGGCCCGGCTGTAAGACTAGAGCAAGCTGCCCGAGAGCAATTTTGTTGCTGTACTGATCAGTTAAATTGTTCTTTCTCGCAGGGATTGAATTATTGACTGCTAATAATTTCATATTTTTCCACTGTTATAGAGTCAATGGAAAGATATAATCATGGATAATCTGTACAAAGAAAACTGTAACAGTCTTGGGTATTTCCTTCTTTTGCAAACGAGAATTGAACACGGTGGTTCTTAGTATCGCTGGCGACGGACACATCGCGGGTTAAAAAATAACGCCTGGATACAACTATTAGTTCTCAATGGATGTGCGACGTGCGTGTTGCATACATACGAAATTGAAGGCGTTTTTACTTGCGTTGGTCCCTGCCGATGGACACAACACGACACTACAAATAACGCCTTGAAGCAACTATTCGTTCTCGATGGATGCCCATGTTGCATATACACTACATTGAAGGCGTTTTAACTTGCGCTGCCTTTTTAGCGAAGCGTAATGTGCGGTACGTTCACACGACAACGGTGAAACAAAGAAGAACCTAAGTGCGCGATTGGGACGTTTTAACATACCCATTATTGCCTTGTGCTGTTTATTGATACGCGATCATAATTATTATTATAGTATATTACAATCATTATTTTCGTGAATACGGTTACTCACTTATCTAATATCATTATGGGTTTAGGTACTTGCAAAACGTGCAAAGTTAAGTCAAATTATTACAACTTTATTTATGAACTCTTACGAGCTTTTTTGCACTCTCTCACATTATATTTACATCCTGATGCAACTCGCAACTAGAAAAACTTAGGAAAGCTCATATTCCGACGTGCTAAGGAAGAACGCCGTATGAGCCTCCAGACGTTGCCAAATTTTCTCCTATAAAACACGACTTTTTTGAAAAATTCACGAAAACTGTTCTTCGAATTTTCCAGTGAATTGTAGTCGCAATCGGATCTGAATTAACTAAACATTTCAAAAGAAAACATGCATAATGCTCCTCAAAAATTGTTAAGGAAATCACGGCGTTTTCCCTCAGCACGGCAGTGCTCATTATAATGAATGAAGGACAGTGTCGTCAAAACTCCTTTCGCACAGACCGATTTGACAAGGAAGTCTAAAAAACTGAAAAGTTTCCTATTCTCTGTTGAAACTTTCAGAGGAATATTAAGTGGATGAGATACTGACCACTTGGGCGAGTTTGAGGAGACCGGGGAGTGTCTTGAGGTAGCCAGTGTTGAGGATGATCGCCGACGTACTGGTCGTCGTCGTCGTCCGAGTTACTGTCACCGTATGTGACATCTTGTTGTGTTGAGCTGCAACACACAATCATTCAACAAGAGTTAGTGGCCATCATTATTCCAAACATGCACACAAAAATAGAGTTGAAAAATACACACATTAATTTCCATTCACTCGCACCTTTTCATGACTTCTAGGGGTACGCCCCCACAACGCTTCGCGGTCCAACCCCCGGATGCGTGGTACGTTTCGCGTTACCCTAGTATGATTTAATATAGCAAAGGTTGATATGGTATGATCACCCTCAAATTTCACCCCAAAATTTCGATAAGTAAACGTATACGCTAATTGAAACGCTGGGTGCCAAAGAAGACATTTCTCAGTTGCGGTGTCTCAGAATGTTTGCTAATTCTTCATCGATTATAATTATCTAAAGCAAATGGATGGAGGTCTTTGATACTTTTTCTGAATTTTCTTTGTGATTTCTCTATGACGAACACGGCAAATTTCAGAAAAATCAACCAATAGTTTCCTCTCCACAATATTACTTGAGAGTATGAAGAATCTGAAACACCGCAACCAAGAAATGCCCTTTCTGCACCCAACGCCTCAATTACAATATAATACATCAGAAAATGAGGGACATTTTTGTAGAATCCAATTTTAAGCACTTACTGAGAGGAGTTTATTTTTATGGCTTTGACCATCGCTAATTTTCGTTCTTCTGGGAATGGACACTTGGAATGGCCAATTCAAAGGTAACACGAGTTTCTTGTTTTTCGTCTGATTTTGGAATTTTTCACGGCGTTATACGTGTTTTGTGTAACATTTTTGGAGAGGTATGTGAAGTGTAGCCGAGTGCTTTAAATAATGTAAAATTTTCTTTAATAAAATGTAAGTGTTTTAAGTTTTTAAAGAAAATTTTACATTATTTCTAGCACTCGGCTACACTCCAAATACCAATATACAAATATTCAGTGCTACTACCTTTCAGACATTGTATCACAATGTTCGCTGATTTTGATTTTTATAAGGAAACAAAACCCGTGGTAAGCTAATTCTTGTTTTGTCTAGTGGTCTATTGCTAACGCTCCACGGATCAAAAAATGAAGGAGAGAGAGGAGGAGCAGGGAAGAAAGAGAGAGAAGAGAGGTGAGGGAGAGTAGCTGTTTGTTTTGCATTAAAAATAAAGAGAGGAGTGGGATTGACGGCTGTAATTTTCTCGGAAATTGGGCTGAGCTCTGCGTGCCAACGTCTGTCGGCAAAATCGCGGGAGGTTCAAACGATCTCGCGCGCTTCCCGCGGATTTTATATCCGTTGTGGAGAGTAAAAACGACATATCATCATTAGAATGTTCCTAAATTGTAGGTGATAAGAACCAAATTTCTCAGAAATTTAGGCATATTTTTCTTTGAATTTTTCATAGAATTTTGTTCACATTTTAATCGTGAGTTTTTTTCAAAATATCCAAAAAAATATTCAAAGCTTTCCTTGAAAATACGCATTTTGTCAGAATAAATTTGTCAACCATAGAAGCCCGTATGGTTTCATTCCATAGCACGGCAGATAATATGCGGTATCCATAATTTAGAAATATCGTTTAGAAAGCTCTGCAGTTGACTGCAGACATTCTTGAAGATATGTGTGGAACTTATACTAAGTGCAGGTACGAAACAGCAAGTTGCATGTTAGTTGCGATATGCTAATTTCTCGCCACACCGTATTATTTCTAGGAAATTGCAATGTTAAACAGTCAAACATTTTCGTATCTATAGTGAATTTAGGTTACTATGAGGTACTTCTTTTTCGGCCCGATTAACGAAAATGGCTTACTTGATTGATCGACCAAATTTTTGGTTATAACGACCAAGACTGAAGACTGGGGCTACTCTGAGATATCTGGGAATGAAGAGAGAGTCCTGCTGAAATAGAGTACTTTTATGTTATCGATTTCACTCAAGGGTTGCGACCTTCTTTTGAGCAAGGCTTTTTATAATTTGAACGAGTTTCTAAACTCATCTGTTGAATAACGTTCTAACCACCAACTAATGTACAGTTGTAATTTATATTTTTAATTATTGTATAGTGTTTCTTGACCTGTACCATAGCCCTAATAATGGGGCTCCCATGTACAAAGTTTTAATAAAAAAAAAAAAAAAACTTAAGAGTTGCTATCGAATATACTAGTTTATCACCAATGTGATCCGGGTTCGATCCTAGCGGTTCGCGCCTGATTTTTAAGGAAGATACACATTTTCTACTCAAGGATTTCGTCAATGTAACATAGAGATTTGGTCAACGTAACGCGAAGAAAAACTGACCAAAAAATACTTACCGCGCACGTTTAAGTTATACTACTTTGTGTTCTACACCCGATAATAACGCAGAATTTTGGTTGCTTTTTCTTGAGTCATCGTTTCCCTCACGAAAGACTTAGCAACACTGAAAAAAAAGATTGATAGCATTTACCATACCTTCACGCTGTATTTCACACAGCGCGAGAGCATGGAAAATTCTACCAATCTTCAAGTAGATTATGCCAGAGGAATGGTTACCTGTACCAGTAAATGGTAACGTTTACCTTCCTTCTGGCGGAATTGACTCTGAACTGACAACGTGTGAAATAATACAGCGTAAAGGAATGGTAAAGTCTACCAATCTTTTTTTTTTCAAAGTGCATCTCGATGTTGAAAAACTTCCCCTCGCAAATGGCTTTTTCGCCGGGCGAATCTTGGGCATTTCTAACCGTAAATTTCACTGATTTTGCTTCTAATCCCATGCAAAAAACAGACAAAATTTTGAAAACAATTGCACAGGGACATTCTTGTGAAAAATTGGATTGTTTTAGCAAATTTTGCAACCTCGGAGTGGAGTTGCGTTCCTCCGTCAGAGAAACATCGAAGTGCATCCCGCTTTGTCCGTCATGTGAACTCGTTTTGAGCGATCTGTCCAGGAATCTGCGAGTTTCGCGCCACTGTGTGCGTGTCCGCGGCGAAAACAAGCAAAATCACGAGAGTGCTTTCTATGTTAATGGGTCACCAGCGACATTTCTCTAATTTTCTCGGAAGCGCGAGGGCACGGGGTCACTCTCGTTCTGAGCTTGAATCATGCCGTTCCAAAATAGATCCTGCCGCCCGCCGACCGCGACACCGATAGGCAGGGGGTGAAGGGGGGGGGGCTCCCGCGCCCGAGGCAACACCCTTCTCCAGCGCTGTCATACTCAGGAAGAGCGACGTATGAGCTTTCAGGCGTTGCCATATTTCCCTCAATAAGAAACAAATGGACTGCATTTCGCAATTAGGAACTATAAATTCTAGCCCGGTTTAAAAACAACGTATGAGCCATTAGTTTCCCTAAGCACACAGGTGTTTCTTTAGATGAGCCAGAATTTATAGCTCCAAATTGCAAAATGCAGTCCAAATATACTAGGAAAATTGTAAATATTTTATCGAAATCTTCACACGGCCTGGTTCGGAATTTTGTCTAAAAGCTCCGAAAATTTCAAGGTATAATGGCACAATTTTCCTTAAAAATACATGTTTCAGGCGGATTGATGTGGCAACTCTCAAATTTTCATACGGCGCTTATCCTTGGCCCGGCAGAGCGGGTCGATGTGTGAATCTTTATCGAATGACCTTGCTAAATTATTCTCTACCATGATAACACTGTTTATCAATAAAAACGACCGATGTGCATGGGAAAATTAGTGGCACATATGTGTTGTTTCTAAAATAAGCCGATTGTAGTTCCTAATGGCACAAAATAGTCCATTTGCACGGGTTGCTCGACGTAACACGCGGATGAAACTAAGGTGCAAGAAATCATGGCATGCACAACCGCGATGGATGCCCTTATACCCTGTTTCTCGAAGAGCGATGCTTCCCTTAGTATTGAACATGGAAAATTGATGTTTGGATTGATCTTATTCTTTTCTTCTCATCTTGAATTGGAAATAAACAAAATTTAGTAAAGAATTTGCACCAAAAAATGCATCACTGAGATTGCTTAGTGAGCTCAGTTCGCAGTATTTTTCATACTTTTTTTCTAGTTTGATATTCTCTCGGTAATTTCATTTTAAACATGAAATTTAAAACATATCAGGCACCTGCAAATTTTTTACTCTGTGACCATCGCAACTGACCCACTATCCCTATACATCCCGTACCACTGTCTTGGTACATAGTTGGCGTGTATGTAAAAAATCCATGAGAACTAACTAACCTGAAATCATTTTGAGACCCCTGTAGTTATAGTAATCCTACGAACGCGCACAGCACTTCGCGACACGTTACACGCAAGTAATGAGCTCCCTCTAAACCCAGACAAAACAATGCGGAATGCATCGAGTTTATCTCTCCTTTACTAATCACTCGTTCCGTAATTCAAGGCGGCTTTCGAGGTGTTTGACTCATACCCATCATTGTTCCCAGTTACGTTGAAGTGGTGTTCCCGGATGAAAGGATTGGCACCAGTGGCGTGGCGCATTTCGCAATGTATCGATTGATCTGCCATTCAATCCTATGGAAAAGAATCGATAAACAGGGTTCTTGCAACGAACGCCTTATTAATCGATTCGTTGCCATAGCTCCAAATAGGAAAATATCGATATTCGATCATTCACGCTTTGCTACTGATAGGCATGATGACGTTACTGATGAATCAAACTCGACAGGAGCGACGTATACAACTAGTAATGGGTGCAGAACGAGAGAAGAACGGTTGTCAAACGTGTGCGCGAGTTTGATGTCAACTCTGCCGTACAAAGTAGAAACACCGGACGAGCATTCGGATATTGCGAAATTTCCTGACAGAAAATATTTATTTTTTAAGAAAGATGCGAATATTTTCCATTGCAATTTTCAGATTCTTTAGATCAGATTACGAACGGAATCCTCTGAACAATCGGAAGAGAAATATTCAAACATTTTCTTGAAAATGTGTGACTTTTCGAGAGAAATTTGGCAACGAATGATGGCTCATATGCCGTTTTTTCTTGGCACGACAGCGCTATCAATGGGCGAGTTTTAGATCCAAGGAATGGCGCCTGGTGCCCAGCTGCCCTATCCTTTCGTTGCGGGTGGACTATGAGAAAGATACATGGGGAACTTTCGAGTTTCCAGCGATTCTCCCACCATTTTCCAGTGACATTTCTCAAATTGTTCGTCTGAATTTTTTCCTGGGGGACTTTGATGGAGAATATATACACATACGTACGTAAATGCAGTACAAATTCACAATTTACGGGCAACCAGACCAGAAAGCTCATTCGGAATTCCTGTAACCGATACCTAAATTTCACAGGAAATTCTGATTTCTTGACTTCTGCTAAAATCGGTAATCCCTCTGCAGGATATAAACGTAAACTGTGAATGCTGAAACTGGCAAACCAATCATTCACTTTGGTTATGTTTGTTATCAGTTATGATTGAGTCATACTCTCCAGGCGGGAAGAGCCCTTATACGTAATATTTCCAAAGTTCTGCTTTTGTTTTATTTTTCTGGAAAAGAGGTGAGCTGAAAAATTCATGGATCAAAATTTCAGCTGAGATCGCTATAAATTTCGACATGAAATGCACTATTGTGGAACCGCTGCTAGTTTTCAATGTGATGAATTTTTGAGGGTGAAACTTGGTTTAATTTTATTCTTAAATTTTTGGAAAATGCTCTACGTAGAATACATGCCGATCGTTCTTTATCCTTCATGATAAAAAATATGAAAAATCTAAAACAGACGAAAAACAACGTCATTGATATGCTGTTGACAACTGACAATCCTGTCGAATGTTCGCAATTTTTGAAATTATAGAAAAAAATTAATGCAATCGAAAATGCGGCAAGACGCGATGAAAAAATCGTTTAGAATGTTGGTAATTTTTACGATGTACGTCCAAAAATTCAGTACAAGACTGAGATCTCACTCGTGCTTGGTAGTACGAGTTTTTTTCTCTCTATAATTAGATCTCACTCTAAAACCGAATTTTTGGGCATACATCGGCAAAATTACCAAAGAAAATGTTGCCTCGTCAAAAAAAGTAATGCATAAAATGTGGTTCTTTTTTCCTTTTTATTTACCGGGTACTTTTGTGAATTAGCAACATTGTCTAATGATTTCGTCGCGGTCTTAGACAAGGAGGTGCGGGCGTGAATACGCGACAAGTGAGTGAGTGGGAGAAGCGGTCCTCACCAAAACGGGAGTAAGTTCGGTGAATTTTACGATCATTTCGGCTCCTCAAAACTGACCATCTCAAGGTCTGACCTACATTCCCACACGACCGAACACCCGTCTCAGTGTCTGAGCACTGATACTTGGTATCATCGTTACGTCACTGTCAAATGATTGTCATTCATACAGATACGCTTGCCGTACCCGTAAAAAATTATTTTCATGCTGAAATATCCGGTGAGCTCTTCAACGCGTTGACTGTCCTAGCCGCAGGTATAGCCCATTTGTCGCTGCTCTGACGTAAAGGCGTATCTGGATTATTTCAACATGAGCCCTGAAAAGCATTGAATCATACCAAAAGCAAGGCTTATGTGGAATAAAGCAGATACGCCCTTAAGTCAGGGGAGCGACAACTTAGGTAAAGCGCTGGTGAGTGCGGTTTTTAGGTGTTACATTGAATGTCACGAATGGAAACATTCACATAATAAGTATAACTATGGTATAGAGAATCAGCTTCACTGAATACAGTCGGTAAAACTGAAAAAAACCCACTGGACTCGGTTGGGGGCTGCTTTAATATTACACGCCTCTGTTTTAAACGATCAAATAAAAATTGGAGAAAATTCTCTGGGAAGAAAGGCACATGTGGGGTTTAGGTGTCGCAGAACGCTTCAGTACGTTGTAGGAGCGACTTTTATGTACGCGTGTGAAACAAATTCAACGTCATTTCCTGAAAACTCTCCTGATATAACCTCTCAGAGTCATGAATATTTAGCGAAAATTACAAGCAATAGTGCGATTTTATTTTTAGGACAATAGAGAGACATTATAGGCAAAACCTAGAGTGAGGTTTTTTATCCCACAACAAATCTTTCTTTTAATGTTTCCCTCTATGAATCAAGGTCCTTTTCTTACTGGGCATCATACGTACATCATTTTCCGGTCTAACTTACGCAATATCGTAATCTTAGACTCAATCTTAAGCTTGCTGCAATTTCAACCTCGCTGGGAAAAAAAGTCTCTCGGATCAAAAGTCTGGACCTTTAAAAACTTTGACAAGAAACAATAAGCTTGATTCAATCAGATTTTTGCTTGAATCCAAAAAAAATTGCTTTGATTAAGAGGTTAGGCTGTCGATTCCAGAAAGAGCTTGATGCAAAAACGGCTTTTTTCGCCCCCCTCTGGAATTTCTTCAGACTTTGTCTATCGATTACTCATACTTGAGCGCTTCTTTTCCCAAATTTTCAGACCCCCAAAAAATTTTGGGGGGGGGAGCTAGGGGGGGTGGAAGTCAAAATCTGTGAACCTCGATATCTCTCGAACGAAAAAAGATATCGAAGTCCGGTTTGGACGAAAAATCGTCTAAAATTGCATACTTTAAGATTCTAATGGTCGAAATCCCGATATCACATTTTTAAGTCAACATATGTGCTTTTTTCCAGTTTTTAGGTCTAGAACATTTCTTTTAAACGAAAAATTTACAAAGATTTCAATTTTTTATTTGAACCAAAACCAGTTTTTTAAATTGTTCGTCTTTTTCCGCATCCAACGAGTGGTCCATTAAGCTGGAGAACCGAACGGTTCCGGAGTTATGATCGATTGAAGTTTTCGCTCAACGCGCGCCGACCGATTTTCGCGCGCAAAAAAGTCGGATTTGACTGTTATTAGATCAGATTTAATGTTCAAACTGAGCAAAATGCATTATTAGGGACTCTTGAGGGTCGCTGAGTCCAGAAATGACAGATACTTCCAAAAAATTCACGTTTTTAAAATTACAGCTCCGTACAGGACCACTGAGCGGCCGGTCGGCGCTCAGTGGGCCTCTAAAATAGCGCTACGGAGCTGTAATTTTAAAAACGTGAATTTTTTGGAAGTATCTGTCATTTCTGGACTCAGCGACCCTCAAGAGTCCCTAATAATGCATTTTGCTCAGTTTGAACATTAAATCTGATCTAATAACAGTCAAATCCGACTTTTTTGCGCGCGAAAATCGGTCGGCGCGCGTTGAGCGAAAACTTCAATCGATCATAACTCCGGAACCGTTCGGTTCCCCAGCTTAATGGACCACTCGTTGGATGCGGAAAAAGACGAACAATTTAAAAAACTGGTTTTGGTTCAAATAAAAAATTGAAATCTTTGTAAATTTTTCGTTTAAAAGAAATGTTCTAGACCTAAAAACTGGAAAAAAGCACATATGTTGACTTAAAAATGTGATATCGGGATTTCGACCATTAGAATCTTAAAGTATGCAATTTTAGACGATTTTTCGTCCAAACCGGACTTCGATATCTTTTTTCGTTCGAGAGATATCGAGGTTCACAGATTTTGACTTCCACCCCCCCTAGCTCCCCCCCCAAAATTTTTTGGGGGTCTGAAAATTTGGGAAAAGAAGCGCTCAAGTATGAGTAATCGATAGACAAAGTCTGAAGAAATTCCAGAGGGGGGCGAAAAAAGCCGTTTTTGCATCAAGCTCTTTCCGCGTGAATCAAGAGTATGTTTTTCTTATCGAATTTTTTAAATGTCTGGACTCTGGATCGAAGTGATTTTTTCCAGTGCTCTTTTCCCAAACGATCAAGTCTTTTCTCACCGGTGGCGAGGCGCGAATGATCGACTATCGATACTTCCCCATTAGAAGCTATGGTAAAGAATCGATTATTAAGGTGCTCGTTGCGAACACCCTATTTATCGATCCTTTTTGTAGGTTTAAATAGCAGATCAATCGATTTATCGCAAAGCACGCCAAGCTACTGATTTCCACGCATTTGGCACAAGCACGAGAGGCGTTTAAACTTTCACTAAGGATCCAGATTAATCTCTTCGCTCACGGAGGGTTATATTTTGCGGCTTTGGGGGCCGATCTGACACTTGCGCGCGTGGGCAGATATGAGTAAGCCAGTGCGCTCGAGGCTGCCTAATTTTGAACATTTTATTTCTGCCTCTGCGTTTCATACAAATAAGATGTATATTCTTGCATATTCTGACAACGCTGTAGCTATATGAATGAACGCAAGGCTAGAATGCATGCTTGACGAGACCGGGAGTCGCGAACGCGTCGCGCAGTGGAGTGACGTGCGTGCGATATATCGATTGATCTGTCATTTAAACCTGTGGAAAAGAATCGATAACAGAGTGTTTGCAACGAACACTTTAATAATCGATTACTTACCATAGATTCAAATGGGAAATATCGATAATGGATCATTCG